CTCTCTCTCTCTCTCTCTCTCTCTCTCTCTCTCTCTCTCTCTCTCTCTCTCTCTCTCTCTCTCGTTGTGCTGAGATGTACACGCACTGGTGGTATTTTGCAGCGATAAGGACAAGGCCGATATTGAGGCCGCCATTATTGGAGAGGTTACAGAGGTGCACAATCTACCGTGAATGGTTTGCATACCTGTACGACACACCCCCGGACCGATTTCAAAGCTAGGCTTGATTGTAGTCGAAGAGGAAGCGGACGCCAAACTGTACGTATGTTTTTTTCGGAAAACTCTCGCCGAGACGTCCCAACGCCGCTTTGTTGGCAGCGTCAGACTGCTGTCTGTTTTAGACTATTGTTCAAGAGAAATCGAGTTTGAAAATCGTTCCCAGGGGTGTGATATCTTGTGCAACCTCCGGTACGCTGCTGTAGTACAGGGCCTTGCTGCGTCAGTCCGTATTCTTCCAAGAGATTTGCCGGCCTTATTCCGGGCACCCGGCACTACTCAGAGATAGCACAAATTATGTTCTATATGTGTCTCGCTATTTCAACAGCCTTAGTCAGCAGGAAAACCGGGCTCATGCAGACACCACTGCTGTTGTGGTAGGTGCTGAACATCGACTGAGAGAGAACTCAAGCAACGCACATGATGAATCAGATCAGTTGGGAAGCATTGCGCACAAAATATACCTTTGTTGTCGCACAGAGCAGCAGTTGGGTCTTGTCGCACCTCCACACACACCCTCTCAATCCAAGGCAAATAGTTTCGTCAAGCCAAAGCCGCAGTCAAAACGACAGATGTTCAAGTTGCTTGATTCATCGGGGTTCCGACCTGAAATGCTCTACCAGGTGGTATGAATCAGTACCGAATATCATGGAGCATCAACGTGTTGCTACAGCTGCTTGGCTGTGCTGTCGAAGGCTGCAACAGCCGTCTTCAAATCTGGACCGAAATCATTCACGTTTCGCTGTCACAGGCCCCATCTCCTAACTTGCGGGTCTACAGAAGTGTGTCGCTCATGCCAGTAGCTGCCTTGAGGACTCGTAGTTCAGACCGTTGGGGTTTGTGGTGGCGAGTGCTAGCAGGGTCAACGTTGGATTGGTAACAGATTAATAGACTAGTCGAACTCAGCTGTTCCCTTCTGTGTCACGGCCACAGCAACAGATCTGAGCATGGCAACGCGCAGCCCCATGATGTCCTCTACTGCTACTACTGTAGTTCATGTCTGGACTACGGAAGGTCGTTTTCGAGTTTTGGTTTTTCATCATCGTCGTGGATGTGTCATAGGACTCAAACCAATTTGACCGCCCTTGTCCGCACGCTGGGTCACAGCGGATCAGAATAGTTGGTGTGCATGCAAGCTTACCCACGATCCACCGGTACACGCTTGAGCTTGGAGCTTCGCGCTCAATGTGCAACGCATAGCGCCACACGGGTATATACCGCACCTTGACGCAAGTTTTACCTTAAAGGCTAAATGCTGCTCGGACTCGACGCACATCATGTTACCACCCTATGCAGCGGTTTGTGTCCGAGGCTCAACGCCTATGTAGTCATGGCGATGTGAAAAGGTTGGTCACCAGATTCTCATTCCCATTCTGCTGCATGTCGTATTGAAAGAAACAGATGCTATGCATTTTATGTAGCACGACGACAAGTCATGAAAAGACGATGACTCGTGCCGAAAAAACCTCACTGGAGTGCCCGACCTTCCCCGTTACCCTTTCTCACCGCTCCTTGCTTCTTTCGAAGCCGAATCGTGGCCATCGGCGGCCACAACCGACGATGCTGACAGACGTCGGTGCCGTCGAGACGCAGGTCTCCGCGCGGCGGCGGCGTCTGGATGGCTCCCCTTCGCCGACCTCATCACCTTACAGCTCGCGTCGTTAGCCATGTGCGTCATCTGCCGCCATGCGCAGAAGCCGGTGCTGGTGAACGTTGCCAAGCGGACACCGAAGACGCTCTGGTCGATCGACCGCCCACGGATAGCTCACGAAAGCACCGACAGCGCCGACGAGGGCGACGGTAGTGGGGGAGCGCCCGGCTTTGCCAGCCGTGTGCCTCGCCCGACCATCGAAGCCATCTCCTGGATCCGCGCATCGCCATGCTCCGCTCTCCGCGACAAGCTTCCCTCAGAGGCGAAGCGGCTGACGTTCGGGAGCAACTTCAACCACACGTTGGTCGGTATCCGCTGGCCCGAAGGGCTGGAGGAGATCAGGTTTGGGTCCAAGTTCTCTCAGCCCGTCGCCGGAGTCGCGTGGCCGGCCTCCCTGCAACGACTTTTGTTCGGGCAGGCCTTCGACCAGTCGCTGGCGGACGCGACGTTTCCCGAAGGCCTTAAAGAAATTTCCTTCGGCTCAAAGTTCAACCAGAGCTTGCTACCAGTACACAGCACGGACAAAGTCAAGGAAGGAGGGGTACGGTGGCCCTCGACGCTGGAACGCATCGCCTTGGGAAGCTACCGTAGGAGCTTGACCGGAGTGTCGTGGCCGCCCGGACTCCTTGCTCTCGTGGTCACGGGCGAGTTCGACATCCCTCTCGCCGGGATAACGCTGCCGGGCAGCCTGGAGGAGTTGGAGATCTCCTCGACCTTTAACCACCCAATCGACGAGGTGGACTTTCCCCGGGGCTTAAAGACGCTGACGTTCGGGAACCAGTTCAACCAGGCCATAGACAAGGTCAAGTTCCCGGCGGGGCTGGAAAGGCTGAGGCTCGGGCTGTCGTTTGATCAGCCCGTGGCGCGGGTAGACTTTCCGGCGAGACTATCGCAATTCTCGATCGACAGCAAAGTATTCAACTACCCCGTGAGCGGGGTCTCATGGCCAGATTTCATGACGGATCTTCACTTCGGGGATGGCTTCAACCAAGAAATCAGCTCCGCGGCGTTGCCCCCACGATTGGTTCGGTTAGCGTTAGGGGACCGCTTCAACAAGCCGGTCCTGGGCGTGGCTTGGCCTCCCGGGTTGCGTGACCTGTCGTTCGGCCACAACTTCAACCAGCCCGTCGTGGACGTCGTGTGGCCGTCGTCCCTCAGACGATTGCGCTTCGGAGGGCGGTTCAAACAGTGTCTCTCCGGGGTAGACTGGCCTACCGGACTGGAGACGCTCGACCTCGGCCACTGCCACATGACGTGGGGGTGCGGACCCAAGGAGGGATACGAGAATTGGTCACCACGGCTGGAGATTATCTCGCGGAAGCGCATTAGCACCCTGGGATGGCAGCGCAAGGAGGAATGCCGCTAGTGTTTGTCTGAAAAAGTGCATGAACATGTGGTAGGGAGCTTGCTGTCTGTGCGTCTGTGCCCCATCTTTTGTGGAGCGTTGAATGTAGGGGCGTCTTAGGCACCAGGTTTGTCATCGGTCTGCATGCGCTGTTATTCTGTACTCTCCGGTGGTGTTCATGATGTACGAAGTACTTTAAAACAGGGTTGCTTCGCACTTTTGCACGCGTTGTGCTCTCTATGGGGACCGCTTTGGTGTTATGACCACGACGACTTGTTGTACGGCATGCGGCGGATGCGGAGTTTTTTTTGGGGGGGTGGTGGTAGGTGGTTGACACAACAGTTTCCAATGCGAAACCAACACACCCGCCCATGGAAGAACTGGCTTGCCACGTGCCTACTGTAGACGTTTTCAATTTATTGTGCATCTGGGCTGGGAGCGACGGTAGAATATCATTTTACCGCGGTGTTACATCAGTCGGTGGAAAGAGGAACACCAGTGTTTCATATCCAAACATCCAACGTAAGGAATCTTGGACAGTGCTGCGTGTCGCAACTTGTTTCTTTTCTTTTATAGCACATGTACCCTACACACCAAAGTAGTGATTGCCGCGTGGATAGCACACGTTGCATGCCCATGAAACTTGGCCCGGGATAATGATGGGGCAACCCAAGCAGTTGGATGTGTGAGCGAGAGAGACAAAGGATGGGCCGCATTGCCGCGTTCCGAGATACATTTTCGTAGATGTCGGAGATCCCATTTAACGGCCAATATCAATCCATCAGTTCCGCCGCATCTCCGACGAAGTACATTTCTCCTCGCTGGCTTCCTCTCTCGCACTGCCCTCCCATAAACACCTCCACACACAGCCCCCTCTCTCTATCACTACCAATTGTCCACCTGAGCATTCAGTCAGTACCTGCTGGTGCTGCACTCACTGTGCGTGGACGAAAGCGGTGACCGACAACCCTGATTGTTCTCTCCGCCCAAGTGCAATCAGCCTGTTTGAAATATATCTGGTCGCCCGTGTGACGCGCAGCTGAGTAGTCTCCAAACCAGCCCCCGGATTTTGCCCTCGCCTACACCGAGAGCTTCGCTCTTCGTGCTTGGTAATGACATCTAGCAGAGCTTACGCAGCTCTACGAGCATCAGCGGCGGCAGCGGGTGTTGGTGGAGGCAAAACTGCAGCGCGATCGACTGCTGGTGTCGATTTCGACACTACTAATTCCAGCAGCAGGGGTACGCTGTTGCAGCAAAAGAAACGAAAGTCGACAAGCGAGGTGACAGCTTCCTGGAAGGATCCGCGCGTCGGCGGCGACGAAGATAGGAGGTAAGGGGAGAGGTAGTGGCCGTCTGCATCGGCGCAGCCGTGAAGCATGCCGGTGTGAAATGTTTCTAGCACAAGAAAACATTAACCTCGACGAAAAAACCTACTTCGGGGTTGTTCTTCAACAGAGGTGCGTTGCAGCGGGAAAACGAAAACCATCGAGATATCGAGATACGAGAATGCGTATATCGATCGTTTCGCTGCATGTGTGTGGCATTCCATCACTGCTGTACAGCACCATAGACGGCACACCTGCGTGGTGCGCGTGGGCGATAGCCGATACATACCATCAGGTGTGGCGTGGCAACCAATCGTTATTGCGACTACATCGTCGGCGCTATATTTTTCACCGGATCGATGATACATAGTCTAGTCCGGGAGTTGAAGCACCTGTTGGACCCAAAAGGAAGATGTGAATGTGTCACTACTTGGATTTTAGGGGAATGAAGTGACCTGCTACTTTTCAAGTGATGCCAACCAGCACATGCTCGAGGACTTGGCGACGAGCTGGTGCAATGTAGCATAAATACGTCGCGTGTGTGCCACTTGGACTCTCTTGCGTCCCGGCTACATCAGAATAGCGAGAGAGGACCCGCACCTGCCTGTGTGGGCGATTAATAGCGTAATCACTTAAGAGGGAACCCACGTCGTGATTGTTGCTCGCAAGCGCAGCTGTGACACGTTCTCGGTTGATTCTTTTGCTTCGTGTTGTAGCGGTGGTCTCACTCTTGATATCCTCCTGTACGCGAATGCGCAAGGGCGTCATCACCGCTCACGACTTGCAACGGTGAACGGAACAACATCCAAGAGTCCCTCGCTCTCTACTCATTACACGAAGCCCGGGCTGTTACGCGAGGCGACAAGCTATGTCGGCGGTGCCCGCTCGGTTTGACCCAACGCTGCAGCCTTGCCTTATTGCTCGAATTAGGTGCACGCGTCCGCTCGATCATTTTGTGCGATGTGACGTCTTCGGCACGCCACGTTATTTTGCCCACTCTTGTTCTCATACACATACCCGGAAGGTACGTCAGAGTTACCGTAAATCAATATTGTGTGTCGTGACAATCTTGGTGTAAAGCTTCAGAAGTCAGATCCCAGCTAGTGGCGAGATTCCGACGATTGTTTCTACTCCTCTTTCAGGAGGGTCGGCTTTCGAAAACACATGTACTCTGAAGAAAACGTATGGCAGTGCTGCGAATCAATTTTGTGCCGTGTCGATCTTCGTGTAAAGCTACGGAAGTCATGGATCCCCCGCTGGTTGCCATTCCGACTATCGTTTCTGCACGTCTTGCAGTGGGGTTGGCACCGCACGGCCAACGACATCGGCATCGCTTGAGCATGGCAGCCTCCGTTCGTCATCCGCAGAAGCCTCGGCATTCGATCAGCGGCAGCAACAGCAACATCAACAGCAACAACGTTTTCCCCCGAACGTCGACGGGTCGACCATTCCCACGCCCCCAACAGTTAAACGCTCGCTCTTCCACAACCCGTTCATGGTGAGGAGCCCGGGTCTGCAGCAAGAGCTCGAGCAGACGAAGAAGCAGCAGACCGATCCAGGATCTGTCCAAGGTGTGTGGGGGCCTGAGTCCGTGGTCTTGGGTGGTTATGGTGGAAAAACAAATTCTTCATGGCTTCGACTGTATCTGCACGAGCAGGTGTTCGGGGACGAAGGACGTTGAACATTGTGGGTCAATCTACACTCTTGGAAGTGGAAGCTTCGTTGGACTAGATGCCGCGAGAAGGGGAGTGACACGGAATACACGTATTGTGCTTTATCCGACTCCCACCCAGAACTACGTCTCCCCGTAAGCACAAGAAAGGCACGGAAAATGATTGGCAGCGTTAAGAAATGAAGGCAAGCATTGCAGGACGAAATGTGGAGAAAAACTGCAAACAAGTCCTCTGATTTATCCTTCATCCTGTGTGACCGCAGCTGGTTTGTCAAACATATACCGAGCGGAGTTTTCGCCACCTCGAGTAGACGGACCGAAACCACGCACGCGCACACATACTTACCCCAAACCCCAAACGCTCGACACCAAATTTTTCAAGCAAAACTCCCTCCTGTCCTCACGGCGTGTCTCTCATCTCCCTTTCCGGGCTGCCTAAACAACAAACGCGTCCCTGTTTTTTTATGCGCGACACCCAGAGTCAACACCCGCAGCGACAGCGGCGACAGCGGGCGACGAATTCCACCCGGAGTTATCCGACCCCGTCGAGGTGTTCCCTCTGGACACGGAGCTGCGCCGGGAGATCGGGGCCGCAGTCGACGCCGAGATGCATCGAGATCTTGGCCCGGCCCTTGCCGCGGCTACGGTCGCGCCCGGCACCGCTCTCCACCCGGACGTGGCCGCCGTCCACGAGAGGGTGGTCGAGGAAGAGCAGGCACGAGTGGCGGGGATGAGGGTAAACTTTGACGACGCCTCCGCTTCGTACGCGTCATTTACGAACATGGAGTTACTGAGGTGAGGCCAGCGAGAAAAGGGGTGGGTTTTGTCGTTGTTGTTATTGTTGTTGTCTTTATTATCGTTGTTTGTTTGTTGTTGCCAGCGGATTGTCATGTTGTTTGAGGCATGCGTGAGGATTGGACAAAAGAAACTTCTTTTGAGTCTCCTTCTAGACATGGATATCGTTGCGGGTGTACTGTACAGACAACAATCCAGTCATTTGTTTCAACACCATGGCACATTCATGGCCAGAGCGCTCGCTCAAGGTGACGACACCCACTCCTTGCCTTGTCGACAGGTTGTCATGTCAGTACATGCATGTGTTTTTTCGGGGAATAGGCGTCCCGGTTTGTCGTAACCCGCTGTCAAACCCGTATGGTGATGATCGCACACCTCCGGACATAGTGCCAAGTACCTATGCTCGATGAGTGTGATTCAAGGCCTGTGCCACACTGATCTCGTGGTTTGAAATCTCACCTCTGCCTTTCACAACAGCCAAGAAGTGCGAATAATTCTAAAAGCAAAAATAGGTAAAATATATGATATCCAACCGCAGCAAAAACTGCACACCTCCTGCAAATGTCGCTTGATCAAGCGGTGGGTGTGGTGCGCCTGTGGTACTCTTGAACCATCCTGTCCGCGCGTGTCGCCGCTCCTCTCGGTTTGGCAGGGCTTACGTGGTGCTGCGAGCATGCGCGATAACGCCTCTCGTGGAGAGGAGCGACACGCTCCTCAAGATAGGGTGCGTGGTGTGTTGTTGTCGCCGCTTTTGATGTTATTATGGTTGTTGTTGTTGTTGTTGTTGTTGTTGTTGTTGTTGTTGTTGTTGTTGTCGTTTGGTTTCGAAGTATTGTGTGGTGACTCGGTATCTCCTTCCATTTTCTGCTTGTCATATTGTGGGGTGGTATCGTGGTGGGATATCCTATCATCTGGTTGGTTAGTTGTTTTTCACGTCGTGTGTGACCACCCCGTGTGGATAGGGCCTGCAATGGAAGCCGTGGCCAAAGATGAAACATTTCAAAATCGAGGTGGTAGCAATGTATGTCCAACATGTTTCACGTGTGTGCAGCGCGTTGTGAACGCTTTGTCATGTCTCGCCGTTTTGAGGCTTCCACAAGAGCTTAAAAGTTGTGAAACACACTCGATGTTAGCTCTGTGCTCTTCTTGTATCTTGGGAGTCGCTAGAGCCCTCACCCCTCTGTCCCCGTGGTATAGTAGCTACGTGTTGGGAGACGCAGGCCGCATGACTGGCGAAATGTGTAGTGGAAAGAGTTGGACGAACGGCGAACGTGCCGTAAGGAGGGTGCTAGCGATGACACAGTGGCCCCGCACTACGCATCAGGACGCCCCCCCCCCCCCCCCCCCCCCCCCCCCCCCCCC